TTACAATGTTTGCATAAAAATATAATTTGGCAGATAACTACAAAAGATACACAATGTTATCAGTTCACAATACTCAACGGTGATTTAATTATCATCATTAAAGAAATATAGGACAAGCTGGGTAACGGCATTTTGTTTAAACAGCAATTAACACTGCACAAATTGACCAATTACCCCAACACCTCCATCCGAAGAGTCCTGATAAGTTATATCTAAATACATGTATGTAAAAACGTTATAACTTATCTACATAGATTTTTTTAAATTGCAAATTAAATTTTAATGAAATTTACACATATTTTTATTTTTTCCGATTAACCGATTACAGATTTCCTAACCGATTACCATCGTTCCGACCGATTAATCGGTTAACCGGTTACAAATTGCCATCCCTAATATATATATATATATATATATATATATATATATATATATATATATATATATATATATATATATATATATATATATATATATATATATATATATATATATATATATATATATATATATATATATATTAGGGATGTCAATTCGAATATTCGAGAAAATAAATAAAACTTGGTTTATTTCAAATGTACTTCATTATATTCTCATGAACAGGTTTTGCGTAGGTATTTGGAAGTAAAATTGGATATAGAATATTGTAGGTGTACAATAAGGAATTCTACATTTGATATTTGTCAATGTTTAAAATAAATAATTGATTTAAGTGAAATATGAAATACCGAAATATAAATTTAACAAATGATATCTATACAAGCTCAAACTGAAGAACCAGTTGTTTAACCAGGGGCAAGATCGTCGTTTACTCTTCAGATTTTAAAACACGTAATTAATTACAGTTATCTGCTTAATAAAAGATATAATATAATCTTTGATACAATGTGTTGACAATATAAACAAACACTTCCATAGACAATTTTCCTAGGTCATTAATTTCCCGATAATGATTTTAAAATTTTAAAATCAATATTTAACCCGAGAAAATCAAGTAATTGATGCATTATTCTGAAATTGAGCCCTTTACAATATTACAGGCTGAATTTATCAAAGATGTAATTCAATGATCAATAAAATTTATTTTCATAAGTACATCCTTCACGTTTCTTAGACATTCTAGAAAGGTTTCATTTCGTTGTCCTCGATTCTAGATCCGATCATATTATACTACTGAAAGTACATTTTGTATTATACATTAAAAGTTCTTGTTTATTTCTTTTATACCTTACTCAAAATGAAATAATTTGGAAGATCTATAAGATAAGAAAGTAGCGAAAGGAATCAATGTATCGCTAGTAAATAAAACGGGGATAATTTCAGCACTGTTCTAATTAAAATTTATTACCTTTTTTGTGAAATCTGAAAAACACCGATATTCGAATCTCAAATTCATTTTCGAATATTAACTCATCGAATGAATATTCGAATGTTCGAATATTCGTTGACATCTCTAATATATATATATATATATATATATATATATATATATATATATATATATATATATATATATATATATATATATATATATATATATATATATATATATATATATATATATATATATATATATATATATATCCCATGTTTACCCCTTTATCCCGTGGATATGACTCATTGGATAATTTTTTCATAATCCACAGTTGTGACGTCACAATGGTTTTTGCGTTAGCGCGATGAAGTAAAATAAAGTGGAGTCCTATATAAAACAGTGTAAAATATTGGTTGTGAAGTATTAAACATGGGATAAAAAGAATCTCCCATGATTTGTAGCTGGATATGACTTTTATCCAACTCGTCGCCAAGGCTCGGGGATAAAAAACACACAACTCGTTGGATAAAAATCATATCCAACTACAAATCATGGGAGATCCTATATATATATATATATATATATATATATATATATATATATATATATATATATATATATATATATATATATATATATATATATATATATATATATATATATATATAATATATATATTATTTTAGGATCATTGGTCATCTTTGGGTCAGTTTTGTCAAGAACCTGCTGCTTTAACGGGTAAGAGATTATTTCCAATACTTCCACCAAATACAAATGGTCTCAAAAGTGCAGAGACCAGGAAAAAAGCTTATACATCGGTAAGGTGTCCGTTAGTCTGAAAACATTTTTTTAAAATGCTACTACTTCTCCTACAGTTTTGATCCGATTCCAATAAAACTTTGTACACAGTACAAACGAAAAGATGCATAACTTTATGTATGGATTTTTAATTGCCGTGGTTACTAATAGAAAAGCTGTAAAATTCTTTCAAAATGCTGCTCCATCAACAATTTTCGTCGTTTTAAATTTATTTTTGTACCGTTTATATACAAAAAGACCATATTATGATACATATTCTTTCCGTGTTTTGGAATATTTTGGTTTTGATATTGAAGTACCATGGTGTTGACAAGGTTACTTAAAATTAGGGATGTCAACCAATATTCGAACATTCGAATATTCATTCAATAAGTCGTATATTCGAATATGAATTTAAAAATCGAATTTTCAGTGTGTTTTGGATTTCACAAAAAGATACATATGATTCATAAATTTTAGTTAAAACAGAGCTGAAATTATTCTTGTTTTATTTAGTAGTGATCGCTTGGTTTCTTTTTCTTCTTTCTTATCTTGTCGTCCGCGTGGTGTAGAGTTAGAGAGTTACCTCTGGTGTTCGTGGAGTAAGAATTTGCTCATTACGTCGCGGGTTCGAATCTACTGGTGTCACGTGGAGACTTGTCCTTCGGATGAGACTGTATAAACCTAGGTCACGTGTCGCAGTAGGTGCTGAGACGAAAAAGATCCCCCATTACTCAAGGGCCGTAAGTGCCGAGTACAGGTCTAAATTGGCAGCCATCCACCGGCAAGTGGTGGCGTCTCAATATGAGTGAAAAATTCTCGAAAGGACGTTAAGCAAACAAACAAACGAACAAACAAACTGAATTATATCTTTTTGAGGTATGAAATAATTATACAAGAATTTTACATGTTTAATATAAAAAGTGTTTTCATACCTTTTAATTGTTTAATACGATCCTCTAGAATGGAGGATAAGAAAATGAAACCTTTTTCAGACTATACAAAAAACGTAAAGAGTTTACTTATCAAAATAAATTTCATTGATAATTAAATTACGTTTGATATATACATTGTAGAATCAAACTGTAATACCGTGAAGGGCTCAATTTCAGAATAGTTGCGTTACTTGATTATCTGGGGTTGTACATATTCCTAATTTTTAAAATCATTATTGGGAAATTATTTAATAACCTAAGAAAATTGTCAATGGAAGTGTTTGTTTATTTTTTCAAAACATTGAATCAAAGATTATATACGTTTCATTAAGCAGATGATCGAATTAATCTCATGTATTTAAAATCGGAAAAGTATACGACAATCTAGCCTTTGGTTTGTTTGTTTGTTTGTATGTTGTTTAACGTCCCTCTCGAGAATTTTTCACTCATATGTAGACGCCACCACTTGCCGGTGGAGAGCTGCAAATTTTGTCCTATACTCGGCACTTACGGCCATTGAGCAGTGAGGGATCTTTTTCGTGCCAGCACCTACTGCGACACGGGACCTCGGTTTATACTGTCTCATCTGAAGGACCGGTTTCCACGTCCCACAGTGGGATTCGAACCCGCGACGTAAGGATCAACTCCTTACGCCGCGACTCTAGAGCAGACGCTCTAACCACTGCGCCACGCGGGCGACTCTAGCCTTTGGTAAGACGATTGGTTCATTAGTTGGTGCTTCTATAGATATCATGTTTTAGTTGTAAACACTTAAATCTATTTATTCATTATAAACCCTATCAGATATCGAATGTAGAATCCCTTATTGCACACCTGCAAAAGTCTACATCCAATTTTTCTTCCAAATACTGACACAAAGCCTATCGTGATAGTAAGATGATGCATATATAAACCGGAATTTTTTTATATTGTCGAATATTCAAATATATTCAAATAACTTCACTGAATATTCGAGTATGAATTCTTGACAAAGTTGACATCCCTGCTTAAAATTAATTATATTTAGTACATTTAAAAAAAAATGCAACTCCTCTAACAATTTCAGCCTGATTGATTAAAAGCTGGCACATAATACATGTATTTGGATACATGTTTGTTTAGTATTAAGGTTTTTTTTTTCCATTTCGATTTACGGGAGGCCAGGGTTCGATTCTCGTTCACCGCGCCGCGTCAAATCTAAGATGTAAACAGAGGTAGTGACTGTTTCTTCGCCAAGCGCGCGGTAGTAGAAGTGAAAGTCACGGGTCTTCCGGATGAGACCTTAAACACCAAGGTCCTGTGTCACGGTATGCGTTGGCACGATAAAGAACCCTAAAAAAACGAACCTTCTTTCGAAATCTCATGAAGCAGAATTAAGTGTCTTGCTGTTGACTTCAAGTAGACATTTAGATATATCGATGATGTTTGATCAATTAACAATATTCTTTTTCATTCACAAGTTGATTCGAGATGTATCCCACTGAACTTGCAATAGAAGAAGCCACAGAGTCTGACACATCTTTTTCATATTTGGATATTTTACTAGAGAAATACATGTACATTGATGGCAAACTAAGAACTAAACTTTATGACAAATGTGATGACATGAACTTTTCTAGAGTTAACTTCCTTTATTTATGTAACAATATACCATCGTCACCATCATATGGAGTTTATGTCTCCCAGTTGATTCGATACACAAGAGCATGTTCTACGTACGAACAATTTTTAAGAGGAGGCAGACTATTAACAAATAAGCTGATGATAAAGGATATCAACAACCCCGTTTAAAGTCAACATTTCGCAAATTCTATGGTCGAAACAATGACCTTGTTTGCAAATACAATCTTTCGTCAGGTTGAATGTTGACTGATGTCTTTCATATAAATATTTAGGCCATTATTTTCATACTGAATTGTCTACGGATTTTTCCCTTTACCCGATATCTGAAGATGGGCACACGGCGGTTGAGAAGTGGACAGGGGATTCTTACTCCTTCATGGAATCTGATGTCACCTCTGTTATCAGGGATTCGATTTGACTCTGCTTACGACTTGTATTGTGAGCATCATCACTGTCCGCTATCTTCATATTTCCGACTAAAAATTTATTTACTGCTATTCCCCTTGTTTTTTATGTTCAATTTTAATAAACCTGGTAGACAATTAAGTTGACTTTATCAACTATTTACATACAGGTCATGAGTTCTCTGAATTATGATCGGCTATGAGCGCTAAAAGTTTTTCCGTATATACTGAAGACAGTAATTATGCTTAAGTTTGTGATATATAATTACGATGTCCGGAGTACAGTTTTATCTAAACGAGTTTTCATATATGTAAGATTAAGAGTTTAGTTAAATAAAAATGAAAGACTGCAATAAATAAGGTCTAGATTACATCTTTTGTAGAAGCAGTCAGAAAACATACACTCCGGACACCTCGATATAGAAAAGATTATTAAAGAAGCAACTTTTATAAATAAAGAAAGGAGTATTACATCTAAAACCAAAAGGTCGATCTTCGAGAAAGTTTGAAAGGCTAAACAACACAAATAAATTCTGCTTTTTATTTTACTAGATTGCATAAAATATATCATTAATTATTCAATCCATGGAGCTAAATCGTCGACTAAATAGTCTTCCTGCTTACCTCTTGTACTTCATGTTTACAGAACTGTTTGTCTTGATACAGCTTTGAAGTTTGGGTTCAGCAGTCTTGCTTGTAATTTTACAGAAGATAATTTGAAGTCTTGGTTTACAGGTAAACACTCTTTAATGTTTTTAAAATAACTTTCTCTAAACAGGAGAGATTATTTAGATAAAAAGCGTGTGAATTTTATTTTATGGTTCTTGTGGTTTCAGTGTGTCATAAAGGTATAAACTAAGCTATGTAAACTCAGATTTAAATGAATAATCTTTATTTATTGACCGAAAACTAAGGAAGCTTCTAAGGGCGGCACCAGTGCCTTTTCTTTATTTTTAATTTTCAATTTTAAATTACAAATTAATATGAAACCATCAATTTGAATCACTTAATGTTTTCGATCTAGAATTACAAATTGTTATTTGTGATAACAAATTATTAATTTTTCATTAAAAATTATCATTTTCTATTTGCAAATATATAATTTATTATAACAAAGTATCAATTTATAATTTCAAATTTATATTTTTTTTTTTGTAATTCTATATCTATAATTTATATTCAGAATTAAAAAAGACACTGGGGGTGGTCTTATAAGAAATCATTATAGAAAACAGTTATATTCTGAGCATTATATACTTAATTTTAGGACCAACGAATGGGTTTCCTTGTGAGGAGCAGTGTTCGTTAACAGTGAATACAGATCCAAATACAATATACAGACTGAAGAGGGAGAGATTCTGGCTGAACAATACCATAAGAAGAGCACTAAATGTCAACAACAGAAATGGATGTCAGACTGAAAATCCAGCGATTGATATAGAAGTGAGATGTATTTTGGATGAGTTTGAAGGTAGTATATGTATGTTTCTTCATAATGTTTATTTTAGAACTTCAATTGCTGGCTGCTTGATTTTTATTATTAAAGTTATCACAATTCGACTGGAGTATTAAAGCCTCCTCTCCCTTTTTCGGGGGTGGGGTGTCCCGTTCAGTATATTATGTTTTAATGAATAATATTTATTTGCACCACACTCCTGAAAATGTTTGCTTTTCTTACATTTTATAGAACACAAATAACAGACATAATTTTTTAAAAAATTTTCATGCAGACTACTTTGGACTTTTGTGTTCAAAAGACACTGATTGCTGGAGGGCCAATACATTATGCGTTAAATATGGGAAAGTTGGATCGTGCGAATGTAGGAATGGATTTGTTCGGATTTATGGAGATTGTACAGCAGGTACAAGCATCATGTCCACAGATTATAAAATTGTGTATCGTTCTCTCTCTCTCTATAATGTTTTTGGGTTACACATCCTAATACAATGATTTTAATAGCTGCAGAAAAATTTAAAATGGTGGAAGAAACAAACACTGGAATAATAGCAGGAGTCGGTTTTGGATGCTTTGTCTCTGGCGTTGTCATTAGTCTATGCATTGTCGTCATCTATAGACAAAGAAATGCCCTACGACAGCACAAGTAAGATATTGATGAATTGTCTAGTAAATGGTCGATGAAACTATCAACAACTGTCGATGATGGAATAGCTACGATATAAAGTCACACCAAACAATAGCTATCAATTTGCTTAGTGAAGGCACTTGTTTAAATATTATCCATCTTTGATTTCTTTCAGAGATTCGAATAATGCTGTTGATAATCGTTCATATGAGAAACATATAGAAATTACGCCATCAAGACAGACTCCTGATATGGTATTTATCATTTAAGTGGTATGGTTCCTGACGATATTACTGATATGCTCATTGAAATCACACACACACTCACACACATACACACAATCGGAAAATTCTTATTAATTTCGAAATAATGAGATTTACAATGCTCGAAAATTGTTAAAACTTAGATTTCATTGATTTATTATTGAAAAAGCGAAAATAACCATTTTCCCCGAGACACCTACACAGATATAAAATTTATAACAAACACGCGTTTTTAAGAAAAAAAATACCAATAAATTCTGTTAAGTAATTGTAATTTCCTTTCTTCCATGAGTTTAATTTCTGGTTTGAAATTTCCATTTTTTGTTGTAACTTTTGCCAAGAAGAAGATATATAATTAAATTTTTGTACCAAATCATTTTTCTTCATCGAATACATTACACAGAAAAACTATTAACACCACTTCAAACATTTTTCTTTATCTGGCGATTTTTTTAAAGATATGTTGTAGCATAAAATAGATATAAAATATGTAATATATTATATTTCCATATTGAATATTAAAAGAATATTTCATTAGCGTTTGTTACAAGAAATGAAAATTTAATGTTTCTTTCTGTTTTCTAAACAAAAAGGTATCTCGTTTGCCACCAACCATCAAAGAAATCACCTACTCCAACATTAATGGGGATTCCACAAGTGCAAAAGATGATTTATATAATCACCTGAACGAAGAAGGAAAGGCTACAACTGATTTAGATGATTACATGTATGACCATGCTAATCCTGTCATGGAACAGATCGAACCGGATGAAGATTACAGTCACCTTACAAATGAAAATGGGCCATTACAAAACACGGACCATTATTTCTCTTTGGAAAAACATAAATGTTGACGATCTTATATATATATAAGAATTTTTATACATTTCCTATTGTATGTACCATCAGCGCCAGTGCATATGTACTCGTAAAATGAAAGCAAAAGATGTGACATGCACAATTTTTGCTCTGCTGATTTAGCAGGATCTAGTGTTATTTTGTTAAATAATTGTAAATTTAAAGTCTATTTCTACAACGGTAAACAGATCTCACTCTCTCTCTCTCTCTCTCTCATTTATCCACACACAATATTACCATTCAAGACTTAGAAAAAAATCCAAAGTATGGAAATGTATATATACTTTGGACCGAAATACAACGTAGACAAAATAAGTTCATTATATAACATGTCACGGTACAAAGCAATTAGAGGAAATAGTTACAATTTTTAAATTTATATTTTAAAATCTGTCCCCCCCCCCCCAAAAAAAAAAAATCATTAGGAGTCTGAATATATATAATATTTTTTTTTTACATGTTTATACAGGTTAAAATTTATGATGCCGTTACTTTTCTATTTACGTTTCATATATCTTAGATATAAAATCAAAATTTTCTATTTCCTATTTCTGCCCTATCCAGGCTGAGCTGTGAAACCTGTCCCCTAGCAGTGCAGAAGCAGCTGTAATTTACAGGAAAGTCCTATCTTTATATACAGTAATAAAACAAATAGATGTTTAAAATTTTTTAATTTTGGTTATCTGACCTTATATAAAAAATACGCCATAATGACTTTAAGCGTTCCAAAAATTGGTGTCCTTCATCTATTAAGGTTTTATTGTTTTAGATTTTACAAACCCTTAATCATACTCTTACTCTAACTCCCTTACCAGAGGCACATTCACTGGTATTAGTGCTACCCACCGCTTGTCGAAATCGAAAGTAGCAAATTTTAGCACATCAAATGAAAGTACACATCAAAAATTAAAATCTGTGATGTCAAACGACAGAGTAAACAACGTAATAGCTTCAATTCAACATGTTATGGAGCGTAATACAATACCCAGTGAACTGCAGTCGAAAACCTTTAACGATTTTGTTGTGCGGAAGGTTGAAATGGAAATGCGTTTGATGAACATCAATGTAAGTTGTGTTCAAATCTGGGAAAAATTTGACAGATTGGGACGAGAAAGAAATCCTGAGTGGAAGATGAGTTATTTTTTGCCGGTATACACTGGTAGTTATTCAGAGGGTATGCCAAACTCTAGCGACATGGACAGACTATTGATAGCGAAATGGATAAACATTCAGGAAGAGGGTACAATTAGTCCTGATGTAAACGAAAACTCCAAGTGTGATGTTATGAATTTATTCTACACAACTGAAGGCTGTCATTTCGGATATATTAAAATCGTTATATCGAAAGAAATCAAGCACATTTTTAGTGACGCTCAAATTAGGAGGTTCAAAAGAGTGTCCTATATGAAAAGTGATTGCTTTATCCAGGACATGAAAACATGGATTGGTGCCCCGCCCCTTTCGGAGCTGCATGGACCTTCGCTCACGTACAGCGGGTATGAGGGGTTTTCTTATGATGAAGTATACGGTATAAAGATATCAGGGTGGCCATCTCTTGCGAAAAGCACGCTGGACCGGTGCAATCGGACAACTAAAACTGCCTTACTAAACTCCGATGTATATGCCGTTCCAGTTGGTTATACTCTCAGTGCAACAAAAGATATAGAATGGAGGTTGTTGTTTACAATGGCAGAAAAAGTCTTTATGAAAACATGGTCTAAAACTCAATTAAATTGCTATTATCTCTTGAAACAATTGAAAATGATACATCTTGCCAACCCCGATTGTCTCAAGTCTTATTATATAAAGACTGTGTTGTTCTGGATGTCAGAGGCTTTACCGGTAACTTACTGGTGCCCAGAAAACCTCCTCAAGTTATTTGCCAAAACGCTACTTATCCTTAAATGGTTCCTTTTTCAGCATTGGCTGCCAAATTATTTTATTCCAGAGAATAACATCATCGACCACAAACCAGCAGAGGAATGCCAGACCGTAGCCAATAAGATATCCTCTTTGTTAACTGGCAGAATGGAAGTTGTTATTGCTGAACTTTTATGTGAAGATCAAATCGAGGATATTTACGATTTTGTGGGCTTAAAAAGAAGTATCATACCACCACGTTCTACAAAAATTTGTCAACTGACGGAAAAATATATTCAAACTCTAAATGCTGAAATCTCGGGAAATTTGTTAGATGAAGCAGATATATTAAGTTCTTTGACCACGTGTACAATACAGAATTTGTGTCAGTGCAAGGCAATGGAGGAAATCATTGAAGACCTGCCAAATTTCTTAACAAAGGAGGTTTCTGGATCATTTTCAGTAATCCTACGTCGAAAAGTTGCAGATTTTTATCATTCTCAGAAAACAAGACAGTCACACGAAAAGGCAGAGAAACTGTACAAAGATTGCCTTTCCCTAAGATATCCCAATGGATTTGATGACAATTTTATTTCTGGGGTAGCCCACCTTGCGTTTTTCTATTACCTGAATGGCAACTTTATTGCTGCGCTAGACTCAATAGAACCAACTCTGGAAACCATCAAACAAAGCGTCAAATCAGAGACAACATCTGGCTTTCTTCATATTGCCATACCTTACAGTATCGATAGAGTATGGTGCGATAAAATTTTGTATGACATTTTGCAGTCTCAGTCTTTCTATTATCCATTGTACATTAATGTGGTTTCACTAATTCTTTATGTAGCAATAAGATCCCTCCTGCTCTTGTTTGAGCCACATTCCAAAGAAAGGGAACTTTTACAGTTGACTGAATTGTTTGTGCAATGTGGACTTCAGAATTTGAACCCATGTTTATTGGACACGTACGATTACCTGATATGTGAAATAAGGGAACTCTTGCTGTCTTGTTCCATCCCTACACATACTTTATCAACGTATGTGATGCCGCAGATTGCTACAAGAACAGAGAGACTGAAAAATTACCACAACTGGAATGAAAATGGACCAAAATAAAAATGGTTCTGCTTTACAAATGGTCAAAGAACATCAAAAAATTAAAACACAACCTACAATGTTTTATTATGAATTATTACTTAGCTATATTGTACATATTAATCTGTATCATCAAAAAATTTATCTATTAAATGCTCATTGCATATTTATTTGGTAATCGAGTCCTTGAAAATGAGACCTTGTCTATACTATATTGTAAAATACATGTATGTATTGCATCTTCTTTTCATAGAAAAAGCATAAAATAATTGGAAAGCAAAATCTAGTATCCATTTAATTTTGAAAATGAGTGGACACAAAGGAGCGTAATGGCTTACTATATTAATGTGCCTGAAATTTTCTCTGTACTAAAATGAGAAAAAAGCCCTTGAAGGAAATAAAACCAACCACTAATTTATTCATTTTTTTAAAAATAAGAACTGGTTTCATCGGCTGGTTATGAAACGTTTCCGTAAGGTTGAACAAACAATCCTCTAAGTACGTGTACATGCATGAGTGCAGATCTTCATAATATGGCAAAAACAAATTGTGAAAATGAAAGCTGCTGACATTACTATGTAGCTTTATTGATATGGTGAACGCCTACACCTTTCATTTTTCTTTCGTGGAATTGTTTGAAGACGTGATCACGTGGAACCCACAACCGACGAGGAATTTCGAACCAACCACGTGACTTAACTCATTTACTTCCGCTTCCGTCTTGGTTTTGTCTGTTGGTCTGGGCATACAAAGCACAAGGAGTAGGAATATTGATAAGCCAGTGGCTAAGTATTGTAATGATTCGTCAAACCTACAGCGTAGGCAGAAGTCGGAGCCTTCCATGTCAAATACATTGTTGTCTACGTGGATACAAAAATGTTCCTCCTCAGAATTAGGGACTCGAACATTAATATACTGGATAGATTTATCAACTAACTTGTGTAATTTCACAGAAAGATAGCCTGAAAGAACAAAAACTTTATGTGTAAATCAAATACTAAATCTGTTTATTTCATTCATGCTTGAATATTTTATTCATGATTTTATTTTTGCACGAAATATCTGAAATGTTTACTTCCATGATGTGAAATTTACATCCCCTCCCCTTATCTGCAAAATGCCATTTGTGGACAAGAATATCTAGATCATTTTGAATAGCTATCAGTTATTTTATGACTCTCCTTTCTTGATCACTGATTTGCTAAGGACATAGATATGGGCACATATCATTAATATATTAAAATACCTTCTTTCTTGTCTTGTGAACTGATCCATCGTCCCGTCAACACTGCCCAGTCACCTGAAGTTTCTCTGATCAACACAGCCCGCTCTCCGAGTCGTGGATCCAAAGTTGCGTACCAGTTCGGATTGGAGACCTGTGTATTAAAGAACAAACTACAGTCTACTTGGAGGATTAATTATTGGAATGTTTACGATACTTATTGCACAGACAAAATTAAAATGTACTTGGTATGAGAGCGGTAAATGGATCGAGTCCACAGTCTTTGCTGAGCACACAATTTTTCCGTTCTGTATGAACTGTATGTCCGCTTCGGATCGATGAGGGCTGTACACGAATCTACATTCAATATCGCCAACAGCGTTCTCGCTTATAAATCTAGTAAATTTAAACATAAAATTATATATAACATCGTTTCATTCTTTGTTTTCAGAAAAAAAAGTTTTTAATTATAAAGACATTTAAGTCTCTTTCAATTACTGCATAAAACTCCCATGAATTTAGAACTTTTTCTGAGTCTTTTTCAATCACTGCATAAAACTACCATATGCATGGATTTAGAACTCTTTTTCTGAGCAGTGTTCAGAGCTTCCCTAAATTAAGTTCCAACTAGTGTCTTACCTGTGTTGGGCAACATAGCCAGCCCCGCACTCTTTAGGTTCTAGTTTTGTTGATTCTATCGGAAACACTCTGTCTATATCGTGAGGAACAACACACACGGAGAGCTTTCCAGTTTTGAAGGAGTAATACATATCCGGGTAAAGTTCTGTGATGCACCCAGAGACGTAGGCAAGGTTTTTATCCTCCCCCTCTAAAGAAACTGCTTCTTGGAAGCAATGAACACTTGAGCGATCTAACAAAAGATGTAGGTCAATTTTACCTTTGCCTACTATTACTTCACGGGAGAAAATAGTACCTTTTCGTACTTTAAGATGGAAAATTAGCCATCGCTGGGAATGTAAGCTACATGAAAAAAGTTCATTCGCAGTCCATACCATGGTTGGTCCAAAAAGTTCAAATGTTGGTTTTCGAGTTTTATTTTGATCTTCTGCTAAAAATATTTGTAAAGTGAAATCGAGGCCATATTCGCCATCTGGAATTCTATCAATAGATATTGACTCTAATTTTAATTGTAGTCCGAGTCTGGAATGTGTTCGATCATCTACAGCACATATAGGAGAGTATAGTTCTTCTGGTGATGGACCACGATACATGGCCCCTGGCGTATTAAAGTCTTCTTGATACATTTCTCGCCACAGGCGTCTTGTGTCGATTGTAGATAAAGTTAGCTTGGAATCTGGGGACCTATCTACGGTGGTATCGTCGTGAACTAAAACTTTACCCAAGAGGCGGGTTGTATCATCTTTGTAGGCTAAGGGATGTAACTGGTGTGTGTGCCAAATCAAATCCTGATCGTAACAGGGTACAATAAAGAGTTTGTAGGAATTTTTGCGAAGGAAAAGAAATTTCTGGTATCTCTGGACAGACAATGTTAGGAATTTCCTGTCGCGATAGTGAGGCAGAGAAACATTGTAATAAAAACAACTCTGACGAGATATTGCTGCCTCTAAATCGTAAGAGATACTAGATTTGAACTCTATCCCAGAGGAAGCATCTAGCATTTTCTCCATAGTTAGGTCAACTTCAAAAGGCTCGTTCTTATACTTTTCATTCCATAATTGTTTTGAACGCTTCAGTACATACTCTCTGTCATGGTTACGAACCAAGCGATGGTTGATGGTGGCTCCAAATAATGTCTCACAATCTTTCTCATAAGTAACAGGACACAATAAATGACAGTGCCAAAGCCATTCAATATCTAGAGGTGCTGTCAAACGCTCCTGCGCATGCTCAGCAGCTAGAGGAAGCCACAATTGTTCATATCTTCTTCTGGTATTTTGGATGTGTTTGACAGAGGATAATGCCGGGTATTTGTTTACAGAAGACAAAAACTCTATTTGTGCCAGGGCCGCTTCTACAAGGTCGACACTAAAGGTTTGACTTAAGGCCTGTTTATTGCACTCGGAGGCTGACACTGGAATTTTAAAATATTTTAAGAAATATTGATTGAAAACAGTGAAGCAATTCTCATCAAAAGAAATGTTACACAATACAATTAAAATATTTTGTAAATTCTTTTCTATAAAATACTAGATGAACATTTTTGTTCCCAGCTCATGCTTAATATTTAATCCATCTTGTTTATATACATAATAAAAGCAGCATGTAGCATTTATTATTTTTTTTCTTTATGTATGTATTTCATATACTTGTAAAGTACTAATATAAAGATTTTCAAGAAAACTCTTTTGCAGAAAGAAGACTCACATTTCTTGCCATCCACAAATGAAATTCTTGCAATGTTGTCTCTTTTTGTTCCTTCCATATTTCTATGCTTAAAAAGAAAATAGTAGAATGACAAGTTTGAAATGCACAAGGGAGTTCACAATGTATTTGTGGAAATTTTAAATTACTTGTAAGATTCACAGCATAATACATACTAATGTTTTCTTTATTTGATTTTTATCATAAATTTAGATTTATAGAAAGGACAACAATCAAAATTACACTGTGAAGAAGTTTTTAAGATAATTACGGAAAGTTTAAGCAGTTGGAATTCAGAAAGGTTCAAGACTCACATGGATAAATTTTGTTAATGTATAAATGTATAATTAATACAACAGATCCTTGAAAAATATTAAATGAATTTGAAAGAATCCACAGTGTCTCAACCAAAAAATCAATTTGTGGACGACTGATTTTGTGTGATTTTTCTGATCAGGGGTATTAAAAACTAAATAACACACAGCTGCAAACATTGACCCCCCCCCCCCCCCAAAAAAAACAACTTAGAATGGTCTAAGGCTTTGTACTAGTGTCATGTTGATTTATGGGTCTGAAATGATTGTTTTGTTGGTCTTTTCTATTTTTAAGGGATCAAAGTATAAATACATGTATATACAGCATAATTATATGTTTTCTTTCTCGTTTTCTTTGATTATTTAGTTAAACATGTATCTATTTCCTTCTTTATTTTAATATTGTCCTTTAATATGGAATTTGTTTTCATTTTGTGACAGAAATAATTATGTGAAAACTATGTAAAACACCTTACAATTAGAAAATTGAAAGGGGAAAGGATGGTGTGACTGTCACCAAACTAATCATTCACATGCTTTCTAGATTAATTTGCAACTTAGGTAGAACAAATACTAGTAGACTGTATCTCTCTCTCTCTCTCTCTCTATATATATATATATAATGAAACTTTCTTTATGAACCCCAGTTCCATTTGCTTTATGTGTAAATAGTTGTGCCAATTGTTCACTTGAATACACACAGGTGTTCAATGCAACGAAATATAAAAGTTACTAATTAAAATTTTTCTTTTACCTGAAGAGAGTAGAACTTTATACTGGAAAACCTTACTGTTTTCTTGGTCTGTAGCGCCGTTTATGATCCTTGTATAAGTTGTATACATATACGAGACTACGCTTGATTGATTGTTTACATTAACATTGTTGCGAAACGAAGCCGCTTCTCAGGTAAACAAATGAAGAGTTCTTACAAGGAGAGTAACTCTGGATTTACTTGATTCATCGAATAAATTCATATATAAATTCATGAATAAATGAAAAATGAATAAGTAATTAAATAAATGAATAAATAAATATGTAAATGAATAGATAAATAAATAAGTAAGTAAATAAATAAATAGAAACCTTCAAAAACAACCAATAGTTTTTTTCATAACTTACATGCACGATATATATATATATTTTTTTAAATCGCTTTATATTTTGGGAAACACATCGTTTATATATATATATATATATATATATATATATATATATATATATATATATATATATATATATATATATATATATATATATATATATATATATATACGATGTTTTTGAAAAGTAATGATAATAAAGAATACAATAATTTTTTTTCATTAATTTTAATCAATAAATAAATTCATCACACTGAGCTCGAGTTATAAAGACAAACAAATCTCTTAATTTACTAGCATATTAAGTATATGTATGTATAAATACCGGCATGTATCTAGCAGATAAATACATGTACCGGCATGTATCGAGCCAGATAATCTAGTAATGCAACATCTCCCTGATGTTCCTTGTATAAACAAACGTGTGTTCTACTTAATCTTACTAAACATCACATTAAATTTAGTAATATTATGTGCCTAATATAGCCTCAAGACGAATGTTCCTATTTACAAGTGCAGTGAAATGTACTTTGCTTTCTACTTTTGAACATATCAATCTGCGAATTAATTAGCATCAATGAGGAAGGTAAGTGGGTTTTTTTTCTCTCTTTTTGATAGCCCCCTTTTTTTAATTTTCTCTCCTTCAAATGCATATGTTTAATGTAAATGAAATTGATTTTATAAAAACTGATTAAAAAACAAGGCTCTGTTAAGATTTTACACTCGTGAAAGTTTTCAGATTTTTTATTTTATTTATTTATTTATTTTGTTGTTGTTGTTGTTGATATTTTTAAATTATTAAAACGTTACGTTCTTGTCATGTTATGATTTAAATGATATATATAATAATTTTCAACATCTTATTAGGCGTAAGATAAATTTTAATTTACAAAATGCATATCAAATATCTTCTATTGTAGAACTGTATAGCACTATTTTAAAATAATCAATTTAAGACTTGGCGAATAAGAAAGGATAAGGAGTTCGGTTTTGAGCCTCTTTTTTTTTTTTTTTTTTTTTAACAAACTAAAGGCACTTTTATTTATTTCAAGGAATATGTAATAATTCTCATGACGTTACCCCTTATCTGGGGAGACTGGATTCTGCCCCCTCTGAAGCCACGACATCGGTCCCTAGATATGGCAGCACCTTGTGCAGGTAAGTTCTGATGTTTTAGTTCCGTCAATAACAGGGCAATAGTATACAGTTAAAGGGGGAGGAAATAAGCACCGCCCTCAATTTTACCTGGTCTGTGAACCCCTGTCAATCAGATGAAATTAAGCCTGAAATTGGATACTGAAAATTGATTGACATCTTGTTACCTGCCGTTGTGTATATCTTGTATACCTTGGCTGGGGATCGTATCGATCATTGAATTAACATTCAGTCTTTGATGCCTACCGAATATAATTTATAACATCGTGATAAAGAAGCAGCCAGAGCTAATTTTTTTTAACTTTATGATAAAGTAATTAGCCATATATAATTTATATTTAATAAGTCTGTCAAATAAATAAATGAAAAAGAAAATCAGTCATATATCTATTTAAATTGTAATTAAGAAAGGGGGGTTCATTTCACTATACAATCTATAATGCAGTATAGATTATCCAAATTTACACGTACATCGATTTTACTTAAAACAGAAAATACCTAACTGCATTGGAAGCATCGTGTAATTTAATAAAATAATAATTCCTTTTAATTTTATAATTATGAGATAGTCATATTGTCCAAGTTAAAAATTTTAAGACGTGTAATATTTCTTCGAGACATGGTGATGAAAGTTACGGTAAAATAACCAGTTTTAAAGAGAACTAAGCATTATTATAAAAGCTGTCATTGCATATACAAGTTATGTTTAGAATTATGTATCCCGAGGAAAAAAGTAGGATAAAGTGATTATATTCCCGTTTCGTCTTCCTGTCGGAGAAACAATACGCGGATGCCTTGACCATTTTTAACATGCATGCGTCATGGGTTAATCACATACGAATTATACAAAAAAAAAAATATTTATCTAATTTATTACATATTTTCTAAAAAAATTAGCCTTCAAACAGGATTTCTAAGTTTTAGAGACTTAATTATTCAGGACTGCGCTTTTTTCTACTTTCGTTTTGTGAATGACTATTTCCCTCGGTGTCGCAAGCTTACAACCAAAGATTTGAAATTTATTAAAGCACAAAATTAAACTAAAATTGTCTCCTTTATTCAAACATATTTTTAAAAAAGAATTGAACTAAAGGATTCAGTCTACATAAAAAAATTAGCATGTTTTATTTCATAAATTTGACGATCAACATTTCGATTGACCAACACGCAAAGTTAAACTATGTCTTAGGAAAACATTTACAGGTAATGTATGCAGGTAACATTCTGTGTATATAGGTAGGTATACACAAGCCAGCTTGGTTCCCTCGGGGCTTCACAGCCGTTTCAATTAAGCTCCACCCCACTCCAAACTTACCTGAGGAAAACCGACTGGTTGAAAACCTCGGCCTTTAAAGTATATCATTGAGGGAGTTAGTAAGATTCCAGTTCCCCAAGGCCAGGACTATTTCCCGAGGCGAAGCCTAGGGCAATAGCTGTAGTTTCAAGCGTACAAAAAGACATTTTTTTAAGCGGGAAAAATACAACTGTCCTGATTCAAGACTAATGCTTTTATACATGTACTTTTATGCCGTCAATTTTTGTTTCTACACCCTAAACCAAAAAAAAAAAAAAAAAAAAAAAACTTTCAAAATTCCCTCTGAGATTCTCTTCCGACATGAGAAAAAAGGGAAAATTCCCAGGTGTATTTATTCGAAAGGGCGTTGATTCCTGTCTACAAGCACCTATGGATTTTTTTCTGTAATGTGTTTTTTTTTTTTCAAAATTAGAAATAAATATAAGCACTACAGTAAAATTGTGTATGTTTTTATTGTTCCATTTGGGGTACATATGGAAAAGTAGGTGAGTTATATGTTTGTCGGAATACCTGTCATTGACACACAGAATAGTCCTTCACCACATTTACTGACTATTGATTACATAACTAGTGATAGTGTCGAACCCTAATTAGAAGAAATTATGACGATAAATACTTATTGAGGAAATTTCTATGGTAAAAATGCATTTGCGAATTATATGGGGCTGGAATTTAAGCGACAAAAATCCTTTGTATTTATAAGCGTTCTCGATCACAATGACACGTTACATGTACCAATAGACCCCACGACTCATTAGAGTTACTGCCAGACATTTAATCTTCTTTGTGGTATGACTCTTTAATAACTGGACCTTAAATACCTCAGGAAAGATGCTAATGTTGTGAACTCATTTTGTGGCTTATGGTAGCTGACTGAAAGCAGTCGTGGAGAATGTAAAAGTAGTTCAAGACTTTGTTAGGAACACAAGTTTAGGCATGATTACAACCAGTTTGAGGAAGCAAAAAAAAAAAAAAAATCATCAAACTATATGCGTATTTTATTGGCTGCTGCAAAATTCTCTTTTTGATACTCGGTTCTGCAACTCTGTGGTCATTCATTCTAATTAATCAGTAAGGTACAAAACTACAGCTTCTTTCACATGCAAACACATTTTTTTTTAAATTCGGTGTTCCCTTTTGCTCAATAGATACAAATTAAAAAATAACCAGATGTCTACATTATTGTAAATATGTTTGCGATATTTAGACGAAAGAACACATGCGAGTCATCTGTGAACAAAATAGAATGAAACATCCTAAACGTTGAGAACCCTAGGTGAGATAAGGGTAAAAAAAGAAATATTTTAGCATAAATCATATACCATTTAGTGGGTATTTACAAAAGTAAATTGAGTGTCATTAGAATATAAAACATGTTTATAATCGTTTTGATTAATTTTTTGAATTCTTATAGTGCCAAGAACATCTGACGAGTCACCATACTACTTTGGGACCTCGGATTTAGCATGTATAACAACGAAAGGGCGATTTCATTTAATAACAAAACGATCCATCCAGATGGACCCCGAAAGAAACCGAACCAAACGAGCAGCACCGAAGAGACATGTATTGGCCCCAACCCATCGGTGGATTTACTACAAAGGATTTTTCTTTGAATGGGGGACAGATGCTGGGACGAAGAATCGTTTATTTGGATTCTTGAATGACGCTAAGAGTTATAGCATAAAATCAGGACTTCCGTATAAAGCAGACAAATGTAATTGGATGTTGGAGTCTTTACCCGCGGGTTACTCGAGCGTGCCAGCAGAGTGTATTATGGGCTGTACAGCTAATTATAGGACAGTGACAGGTGATTACAGCCTCCTAAATAACAATTGTCACCATTTTGCAAACACTATTTCAAATATTTTATGTTCTAATATTTGCCCTGAATGGTGCACTACGCCCCTTTAAGTGTGTTCTCGTCATGTCTCAATGTACTTGGTGGTTCACTAATATGAATTATTGAGAGACTTTATTTGTCACTATTGATCACATTACGAGGAGGACGAATGTGATAAAACATTTATTACTGAAGAGATTTTTCAAAACAAGAACGCAATTTTGGGGGAAAAAATCGTAGCCATTGTTTCACATTAATACTACACCCAACTGTTGTATTTGATATTGGATTTCACTAGATGAAATATGGAGATAACGAACAGTATTCAAGCTCTAAGTCCATTAAAACAATACACATCGGGAGCAGAGCAAACTCGGACCTACAAAAACAGAGGTGGGATCAGGTGCCATGGAGGAGTGAACATTCCCTGCCGACCTGTCACACCTGCTGTGCGCTCCTTGTCATGATCAGTAAATAACGGAAAAATCCGTCGACAATTCAGTGTGTAAATAATGGACTAACAATTAGTATGAAAAAAGTCAGAGAGCATATGACTTAATGATAGATTGATTTGCTGACAAGGTCATTGTATCGACCATAGAACTTACGAAATGATGAATTTAAACGAGACTGTTGATATTCTTGTTTCATCAACTTGCTTGTCAATAACTTACCTCGTTTTAGAAATTGTTTATACATGCACGTAGGGCATGCTCTTGCGTATCGAATCAACTGAGAGATATACACCCCATATGCAGATGATAAGGGTATATTTCTGCATACATGTATGTAAGGGAAATTGACGATTGAGTAGGAAAAATCATCACGTTTATCATAAAGCTTTGTTGTTAGATTACCATTAAAGTCTTTTTCTAGTAGAATATCCAAATATGAAACAGCTGTGTCAGACTCTGTGGTATCTTTTATTTCAAGCTCACTGAGATATATCGTGTCGACATATGAATGGAAATAACTATTGTTAATTGATAAAACGTCGTCGATATATCTAAATGTCGAGTTGAAGGCCACAGCAAGATATTTCTTTTCGTCATGTATAAGATTTTGAATACATTCTGCTTCATATGAATACAAAAATAGGTCTACTAACAACGGGGCGCAATTGGTTCCCATGGGAATTCCAACAGATTATTGGAAGACCTGGTCTCCAAGAACCACAAAGATATTGTCAATCAGAAACTCAAGCATGCATCTTTTAATATCAACTTCAGAGAACTTGTGTGTACAATCAGAATGTTTTTTAACAAAATAATTTTGTAAATGACCAATGACAAGGTAAGTAAATTTAAGTATATTTTATTGAAAAGCAGCTGTCAATGATGCCAAAAAAGCCTGGACTTAAATTTATCGTGGGCAATGGTTGTATACAGAGTTGAAAAGTCTTAAGTTTTTATGTTATTAATTTTGGTAAAATTTGGAGATTTCAAATTTTCCGAAAGTTTCTTGGAATATTTACGTATCCACATCTGATTTACACCACTTCTCGAATATACTGTTTCACTGTACTCCTGAAGTTTCTCCCTCTCTGATACATATCCTTATTTAAAAATCCATTTATTACACAATAAAACTTTTTGGTTTTACATTTAAAACTTTTTTTTTTCATTCTGATTGTTTAAGATGATTTTTAAGGTGGTATTTTGTGTAGATATATGTTAAAAATAAAAAAAAGGTCAATGGAAGGCTATCGATGTTATACAGTAGTTGGCAAAACAGCGGCGTCGTCGATGTAAACAAACTTCGTCCGCTTAATATATGATTTTTATTAAACTTATACAGTACTAACGAATATATATTGTAATTTGCCCAGCCCCTGCACGTTTCTCACTAAGGATTCTCTGAGGAATGCTGGCATACAAGCTCTGTAAGTAGAGAAGTGGCAGAACTGTCGTAATTCTTGCACAATTAACACATTTCAAATCCTCGGCGTTTTTAATTTCAGAAAACGCCTTTGTACACGGATTTTTAAGGCTTTCCAGACGTTTTGTATGATGTTCAGATCTGGACTTTGGGCAGGTAATAGTAAAGTATTTATATTGTTGTCGGCCTTTCAAGCATTGACCCTAGCAGGCACAAGGCATTGGGGCGTTGTCTTTCTGGAAGACCGAGGGTCGGTTTGGAAAGCAGTGTTGTGATAAGAGATACCCGGCAGGTGTGCTCCCTGTCGCCGAACTCGGCTAGGAATTCAAGTCTTAAAAGTTATCTAGGCTTCCTGCAAACGTAAACTTCATTATTGTTGCCCAATATAATTTTAGTTTCATCACTAAAGATGACCCTAAGCCAATTTTCCAAACTGTCCATGTCAAATCCTTGTTCTTTGCTCTCGTTTTACATGAGAAATGGCATTTAAATAAATCCGTTTGGAAACCACAAAACGTTTATACATGTAGTCATCCGCACAGAGTCGTCTTTTAGCTGCAGAAGTGTAGCTCTCTGGATGAGAAAATTCGAAAAGGCAAACCGAGAGCTACAGATCCAAGCAATGTGTACGGAAGCGTATTAGTGCCATGTATTTTTTTAAGTTGTTAATTCCAACTTAAAAGTTAGTAATTCCATTTTTATTTTATTTATTTTGATTAATATTAAATAATTGATCAATGAACATTAAAGTATAAAAGAGTACAGAAAATTAAGGCAAGTGTACAATTCCAATAAAAATGTGTGATATACTTTTTCTTTGGACTCTTTTTTTTTTTTTTGCTGAAATACCTTAAAATACTAAATATATTTTTGCAATGGATTTGATGATTTGCATGTTTAACTACATGTTTCTATGATCTGTGAGTTGGTTGTTTAAAAAAATGAATCAGTTTCACTGCATCATACAAATTTTAAAGGAGCTATAATAGCAGTTATTTTGACCTTTGATCAAGTGAACTGTTAGTGAATCCTCTGACTATCCTCAGTGTGGGAAGTGACAGTTAAGGTTATAAATTTAAAGGGAACTCAGGTTATAATTGTATCACACGGAAGTGATGATGAAGGGAGAAGAGGGGCATTATGATTACTACTGAGCTGCACTTAGATGGGAATAACCCTTTATAAATGTACATGTATGTGTTGATGTTTGTCAAAAAAATCCACATTACTATGTGACATATATTTATTCCTGTAAAGTTGGGGTTGTACACTGAAATGTTATATACAATTGATTTAGAGGGGGGCCCAGGGGTCCCCTCTTTTGTGTCCAAAATATACATAAGATTTAATAAATCAATTTTTTGGGGTGTGACTGTGGGCCCCTACCCCGACCCCAAACTGGTCGCCCCCCCTTTTTTTTTTCAAGATTCCTGGATCCGCCACTGACTAGTTTATATGTACAACAGATCTGAACCAGAGACGGATCTATGATTATTGTTTAATTCTTGGTGTATGAATTATATTTTTTAGGCAAATCTTAAAAAGGGTAACTTATGAAAAAGGAGTAAGATGCAGGGTGCTTTAACATGGATAGCAATTTATTAGTCAGAACTTTTTTTATGAAAATCTATTTGGTAACATAAAATAACCTAGATATGTAGATCCTACTTGCAGTGACTTAGATATATTTCAAATATCCATGTGGATGATCATGTTTTATATTGTCATACTAAATCACAACAAACGAACATATATGCAATTTGATTCAAAATTACCTTTTAATGACAAGATAATGTTATTTTTTCTGAAAAAAAAATGTAAAGAAGATCACAAATTTTATAATGCATAAGATTTTTTTTTTTGGGGGGGGGGGGGGTGATTAAAGGATTGTTGGGGTCAAATGCAGCTTTCAATATCAACACCAGTGTTGACAAAATTAGCTGATGACAATAATAATCTAATATGGAACACTCAGAACGATAGAAAAGAGTGAATAAGTATTTGTGGACGTGTTATTTCCACTTAATAATCGTTTCTACTTGACCCTTTCCGGGGGGCTAAAAACACGATGCACTTAGCGTCAATTAGTCTGAACACATTATACATGAGAAGTTGAAAATTTCTCTGTACATGCATGTATGTTTATTATCTGGGTAAAGCGACAGAAATGTACAAGCAAATAATTCCGTAAACATTTTTTGTTTAAAATTTTCAGGCTATGAGGTATTATTACATGTTTCAGAATCAGAATCAGAAAATTTAATTTAAAGTCGGATTTTCAAACAAATAACGTAAGCTCTGTAGAGCTTTTGACCGACATGATTAGTAAGACATATACATAAAACACATAAATGACAATATACACATTTATAAACATAGTTAAAATTTCAATGGCATGTAGCACAACAGACATAATTTACACACACAAAGACACACACAAATACACAACAACAAACAACACATATAGCATGCATTTACATATTGGACAATACATAGAAAGATGCATAGAAATAAATATGAGTGAACGGTCAAAATAGCACCTATATAAAGGATAGTCTATAATTTATATTATTGCATAAAATATGAGATAGCACTTCGCTGAATTAAAAAAGTTAAACTTTATAATATCATATTTTATGGTAAATTTACTCATTAAAATGAATAAACATACTAAACATAAGAAACAGAAAATTGAAAACTTAACCCCCCCCCCCCCCCAAAAAAAGAACTGAATTTAAAACTAAGGTTTAAGATCTGCAGGAGCCACATTTACAGGAATCTCTATTCCAGTTATTAATAAGACTTTTAAACTGATTTATTGTAGATGCATTTCTAATGTCTTCTGGGAGTTCATTCCAGAGTTTGGTTCCTGCATATCTAAAAGAGTGTAGACCATGTTTAGTAGTTCTTACTCCAGATACCTGCACTGTATTACTTTTCCTAAAATGATATGATGTTTCTTTAAAAGTGAATAGATCAGACAGATATGCTGGGCTTTCATTTTTTAAAATTTTAAAAACTTCTGTAGCCATTGTTCTTATTCTTCTAATTTTTAAAGTTGGTAGACCTGACTTAAGTAATAATTCTTCGTAAGTACTGTTTCCATCATCGTAAATAAATCTGAGAGCCCTTTCTTGATTTTTTTTCAATTTTTCTTGTATTATTTTCTCCACAGAAATGCCATACAACAGGACAGTAATTAAAATTACTCATAATAAAAGAATAATAGATAGTTTATTTGCCCAGTTTGTTTAGGTGTTTACCTATGCGTTTTAATACATTAAGTTGTCTTGCTGCTTTTTTGCATAGTATGTTTGAAATATGGCTATTAAATTTTAGTTGGCTATCAAATGTCACACCCAGGAGCTTAACCTCTTCCTCACATTTTATATTAATACCATCCAAGTTGAGAGTGATGTTTTCTTTACAGGTTTTATTTCCTATTGAGAGTGCCATAACGTTTTCTGGATTTGCTTCCATGTGGTTGTTTGAGAACCAATTTATTAGATTTAGGCTTTCATCTTCTAAAACTTTAATAACTTTGCTTAAATCAGAGTCTGAATGAGACAATGAATTGTCATCAGCATAGTTATATAACATGCCGTCATCAACAAAGCTAAAAATGTCATTTAAAAATATGTTAAAAAGGACAGGACCTAATATAGAACCTTGGGATACACCTTCATATATATATCTTTAAAAGTGCTAAAAAGTATTTAAAAATTGTTTCCTAAAAAAAGTCAAAAAATCGTTAGTACATGTTACCTCGAACAAAGGATTTTTGCCAATACCAAATCACTTGGTACACTCCAAGCCCAAGCTTCATGATTTGGTGACTATGCTATTGTGTGCATAATATATTATTAAAACTATCATTATCGATGATAGGATATAATCATGAGCACGGGTTCAAGGTCACTAAACAATGAATGTTTGGCCCGAGGTGTTAAACTGTCACTAAAATTTACAGAATTAGTAAAACCAAAACGGGAAAAAGAAACTCACTCTCTCCTACTCTCTTTCTTTTTGACATTAAACACCACTTTCGCCAAAATTACAACACAAATCTAAGCAAGTTTAATTGGTTGAATATTTAGGATTTTATGCTGCGTAACTGATCTTCCTGTCAGAACGATGTATTTCCTAACTGATAGTGCAAAAAATTGGAGTTAACTCACTATCTTGTGTTCATCCCAATATGACACGGCGAGATTGTCAGAACATGTGAAATAAACATGGAAGTCCTACATTGCTGACATTCCTGTTAAGTTTTAAGCCGAGGCTACTCAAACATTTGCTCGTTTTTTATTATTTTGGTCGCGTTTTCTGTAAAATATTCTCTGCTTTTTTGGATCAATTTGAGAAATAGCACCAGGGAATCATTATTTGGATCTTAACCTACATCTATATTCCAAAACAAATCATCACTAATGTCCAAAAGAATCCTATTAGAAGCTTCTGACTTAAATCCAAAAGAAACTAAGACAATACTGTCTTCATACATTGATGAAGAGGTTTTGAATATGCAGGAATGAACCTAATTGTGTTTGAAAACTGTTCACTGTGGACCATCTTCTGACCTGCTACAGACAAGTACATGTATATATATCCCTGAGGGTATAATTATCACATCTGGGCCTGTACAAAATTGCATCTTTATTTAATCATCATTTTCTTGATACAATTAAAAGGAAACACGCTAGAGTTGTGATGAAATAGATAGAAACACAAAGAGTTTAATTTCTTTGTGTAAAACATGTACTAAGTATGTTGTTAAACTTTTCCCTCGATATTCGATTTGGTCCCTCGCTTCGCTCGGCACCAAATCTCATGGTACTCGGGAAAAGTTTACCACATATATATGTTGGATCGACCGCTGAGCGAGATATTTGACCGCTATCAATGACGTTTTTTACGTCACACTGTAGGCAGGAACAAACATGGAAAAAATGCAAACATGGAAGCCATGTATTTCTAAATGATAAGTAAAACGTGTAACTGTTTGGGTCCGAGAAAACACATTTTGCCCTCGAACTTAGTCAAAAAAAGTATAATAGTACAAGCAACAAATCCTAAAATTTGAAGTGTGTTTGTGACCTGTGAATTTATTAAGGTATAGATAAAATAGTCACTGCAGATTATAAAACTTTGAGTAGTACATGTATATATGATGTTCTTCACACACACAGAGACAGACAGATTTATCTTGAGGTAAAGACTATCTTACACATGCACACACAGGCGGGTTTATCTTTAAAGTAAACAAAATCTAACACAATGAGCCAAGTACACAAAGTTAATTTAGGTAGTATATGGTTCAACATACTTCATTTTTCTTTAATCCATGGACAGATCTTTCGAAGTTTTTTTCTTATTTTATGTTTTAAACTGATTCCCTTAAGTCTTAACTTTATTTCGTAAAATGTTCGCTGATTTCCACTATTTTGACCAATCTTTACTGTCTTCTTAACGGGATCAGAAAGAACTTTGAACTTTGCAGCTGGTGGGAAAAGGAACTCTCTTTCATCATAATATGAATACTGACTAATACCTTTTGGTCTCCATTCACTAGCCTGTGAATTGTCAATTATTAAAAAAATATTTTTGTCAGTATTAGGCGCAAGAAATGTTTCCATCGCTACTTCTCGAAGCTCTGATGATGATGTGAACTGCGGCAGAACTATGCTTTCCCCTTTTTGGTAAGCTTTCAAAACAGTTGTCATATCTCCACTTATGTTGCCTATCCCTCGGTATGTCGTTTTTCCTGTTGTCATCAAATCTCCCCAGTACAACATTGTGGCAAACAGGGCGGTCGCGTAAGGTGCTAATGCTCTGTCTTTTGGAGATAACGCTTTTGTTGTACAGTCATGTTGACCAAGTGCTCCCGATAGATCATTGTAAATTTCATCAGCTGTGTACAGTTGGATAAGACTGGATTCCAGTTGATCACGTGATCGACGGAGGGTATTGTAAGATGTACGATACTGATTCCGAAGTGACTCTGCTATCGTCCATTTTGTATCATTTCTTTTCTTTTGTAAAAGCATGAAAACACTTTGCAGGGATTCAAAAAAGCGACCTTCATATTTCTCAGTCCCATTTGACAAAACCTCTATTCCATAATTTATCATATCCATTCCGTTCTTCTCTATCATTTTCTGGCAATCAGCTTTCTCTACAAACGCCCTTTTGTGTCTTCGATGTATTTGTTGTGCATAATAATTGAATTTGGGATGCAAGGCTGTTACTGTACTGCAGTATGTCACAACGATGAACAAAAGATCCATTTTCTTTCAGTTTTCTCTACAATCTAAATTAAAATGCTAAAAATGTACTTATTTTTCTGCAGAACTCTGTAAGGAAATTGATGAAGTGAAGTCATTTTCATTTTTGATTATTTGGCGAGAAGAATTAACTGAAGTAAATGAAACAGATTACAATATGTTAAAAAAATGTTTATATGAACATACCGTGAACATGGATTTTAGATGGGTTTTTTTGTCGGTAAAAATGAGCAATTTCTCCTTATAGATCAGGAATGTATATATGACCGCTGTTTCCGAGGTTTTGTTGATGACAGATTTCCTTTTCAAATTCTATAAATTCTACATAATCCAAATTTGCACAACCCATAAACTTCCTTAATGGCTGCCCAAGTGTACTTAAAGCCAAGGATGATATTTTATACTACTTGTCTATTATACATAATGAAATAAGTTTCGATTTCATTGTTGGAAAATTAAATAAAAAAAATATTACTGCAAAGTGGTATTGTTAAGAAGAAACTTCTTCACTTTCTATATTCATATTCATATATTCTATATTACTATTTATGGCACCCATGTACTAATATCACAAAAATCTATAAATTAAAAAAAAAAAAAACAACAGTTCTCTAATTTCCTTTTTTAATTTTAATTTTTCCAAGTCAACCGAGTTATCTTGATTGCCCTCTTCTTCCGTCTTTAAAATGTGCAGCGCCGTTTATAGTGTTTACCAATAGTCTCCAATCTGATGCTGCTGAACTAACTTTAACTAATTGTTGCATATTAAAAAGCACGAACAGGATATCAAGGTTACTGATATGAGTAATCCAAAGCCTTACGTACTGAGCAACGCCAGAGATACGTCAAGTACTATATATACGAATATACTCATTGAAAAATAAATGTCATTAATAATCTACTTAAAAGATAAGCTATATTGTGTTTCAGCACAGTATTTTGAAAAGGATAATACTAGATAACCGATAAGTTCTCTTCTTTTGCAACTGAAAACAGCCTGAAAATAGTTTGGCTACCTAGAAAACAGAACTTGACCGAAATATTTATTTTGTTTACATACTATAATATTGACATTTCCAAATATTTTCCCTTGAGATTCTTTGCAAATTAGAAAAAAGTTCATGTTCTCATGACCTACAATGGAATGAGTAAGAACATTTCCATTGTGAAGTAATTGAAGTCAAAAATAGTGCAAACGTTTTTTTTTTAAAATGATCGGTGAATGACAAAAATATGTGGCAAGTCATCAGAAAAATAATGTAAATATAAGATATGAATTTAATTTTTGAGAATTCATGAGGCACATGAACTATAACGTTTTACGCCTGCATATTTATCATGAAGCGCTAACGCGCTTCATGAAATATGCCGGCGTGAAGTGTCGTAGTTCATGTCCTCATAAATTCTCAAAAATTAAATTCATTTCTTAAGTATACTGCTATCAACGTAAACTTCATTAATTAAACAATAACCACAAATGATGCTTAACAGCATTGAATGATGTCTAGAAATATGGAACACAACCAAGCAACGACAGTTTTTATGAGGCGCCGTTTTGGTATTTACTGCCAAAAAGTGATATCACCTATTCGAAAAGTGATATCACTCATTCAAATTGAAAAGGTGATATCACCTATTCGAATAGGTGATATCACTTATTCGAATAGGTGATATCACCAATTGAATAGGTGATATCACCTATTCGAATAGGTGATATCACTTTTTGGCAGTAAATACCAAAACGGCGCCTCATAAGTTTTTAATGAACATTAGACAGAACAACCTCTTCAAAGTCTTCGATCGATCCCAGAATGTTGGTTAAAGCACTGGAGAAAAAAGAAATATGTATACTAGTCTGGTTCCCTTTTAGTGATCATGAGCCAGGGAACCAGACATTTTAGACTTATCCCATCGGAATGAGAGTATCAACTCCGGATGCTTAATCAGCTTTCTGTTACACAAAATTGTGAGTAGAACCGAATAGATAGGCGTTACTCGATTACCTAAATCAGGTATGAAAATATTTTCAATTTAAAGTAAAGATTTTAATGTTTAAAATAAATGATGGAACGAAAGAATATTGCAGAAAATATAGAAATATCAGTAGAGACTGTAGGAGTAAGGGTTGATTTTATATGTAGAGTTTCATTTACTGCCGGTACACACGGTAAGGCTTGCCTTATAAGTCTAAAACCTTACGTTTTTGCAGGCCGTGCGGCTTTCATGTCCACACCCTAAGGCAAGACTTACAATATTATAAACAACATTTCCATATACTCGGCCTTCAACAGTGTATTCATTCATTAAAGAGAAGACGTGCGCTGTAATAATTTTACTAACCAATGCATTCAAACTTCTTAAAAGAAGAGGTTAAACAGATGTATTTGTGAATACATTCATTAACTTTTTAAAAAACACATTTGTGTTTACTTCAATTTACCCACCTGTATGGTTTGATAAAAATTGATTGACATTTGGGTGAATGATTTTCATTGGGTGAGAAGAGAAGGTCAGCTAAGTCTTGTATTAAGAAATAAAGCAGTGCTCTATTCGTAAGTAAGGTTTGTAAGAAAAAAAAAAAAAACCTGTATTAAGGGTGTACACATGGTGAAGTTAGAACTTAAGTTCCATGACTTACAAGACAAGACTTACAATGTGTACCGGCCCTAAGACGTAAACATTGGTAGTGACTGTTTCTTCGCCAAGCGTCCGGCATTTGAAGTGAAAGTCACGGATCTTTCGGATATGTCCCGTGTCACGGTAGGCGTTGGCACGATAAAGAACCCTCACTGCTCAATGGCCCTGAGTTCCGAGTATAGGTCTAAATTTGAAGCCCTTCACCGGCACACGGTAACGTCTCTCTATGAGTGAAAAATTCTCGAATGGGACGTTAAACAATATACAATCAATCAATCAATCATTTACTGCCGATCGTTGTAAGGTATAAACAACTGCAATTTCGACCTACAAATGTCATGATGTAACCTATATTTTTGAATATTAGTATTTTTATTTAAAGTGCTTACAAATGGGATAAAATTTTGAACAATGCCAAAGATTTATCCGAAATTGAAATAGTAAAATATCGAGAAGGCATAAGGTTTATGAAAAGTTCTATTAGAAATTAACTGGTACTCATTTGTCAACGTTTGCTTATTTCCGGAGTTTTTTTTTTTTTTTTTGAATCACTGGTATCTTTTTAGGACGGATCAGTGTTTAAAATTGTTTTTCATGCTAGACTTTATTAAAACACCTTTAATTTTTATCATTTTCTTTAAAGAGCTAGGCTTAACAGAAGTAGGAATATTTTGATTTATCAACATCCTGTCTAATTTTTGCTAAATTGACTGGACTATTAGGAATTCAAGATCTAGCAGCAGTTATATGGGTGGTGTGATGACTAAATAAACTGTTCAAGTTAAGACATGATCGCTTTCAAGGTATTCCTTATCAATATCGGATGTTGTATTACATTACACTTAAAATCGTTACGGTATGGAAATTTAAATAAAATAATTCATAATCGACCGTTAAAATCGTTAGGTATGAAAATAAATCATAATTCACCGTTAAAATTGATTTTCATGTTAAATTCTATTTAATACTTCGTACATTTTAAAACATTTACGAAATTTGAATCAAAATGTTAAATTAGTTAATAATGTATGCTTAACATAATTTCCTATTTCCTATCAAATTAATTCCAAGAAATCACTCATTTTCATGGGAGTTTTCATTGTTTTAATGGTGTGGAAAGCTTCTTAGCAAATTCATGTCTTAAAAGAAATGTGTATAATACACAACAAACCCAGCACTTCCTCAGCCACGAAATCAAATCTCACTGAACCAACATTTTTTCCCTAAAATCACTGTTTAACACCAAGGGTTTGAGGATGATTTTACATAAATTTAGGATGTATATATGCCTAAAAGTACTCAAGACATGTTTGTTAGAAAATTATAAAAAGCATTTCCTGTGTGAACAGATGTATAAGAGAGAGGGACAATTATTTACACTTAGGGCCCTCCACATATAATAATTACATGTTTTCCGATCTTTCCTACATCCACTACTTTTAATATTGACAGCAAAGAAAAGTATTTTTGAAAAATTACGAGTTGTTCTCCCTAATATTTTATATTCATAAACAAACTTAGATTCTACTTATTCAAGGACTTTGTGAGTTGCTTGGTGAGTGTCTTTATTATAGTATTTGTCTAAATATAAAACTAGTGATTCAGTATTTCATCAAAGGGATTTTTTTTTAATTTCTGAAGAATGTCAATTTTTGAAACAGGGCATTTGCCTGTACAAACGATTTTTTTTTTCAAACTTGATTGTTAAAACATATTCAAGTATTAAAGATTCAAACACTAAAATTTATTGCATTTTGTTAACTAATCAGCAAGTTTTAATGGCAAAGTGATGCCCCAGGCAAAGCTCTCAGAGCTCATAAACACTTTTGAGGTATAAAAAATTGTCCTGGTTCCCAAAGATGATCAATGCTTCCAAAAGATATTTTGCTCGTAACGAAACTCATAGCACCAAAACAATGATTTCCAAAATTAAAGCATACATGTACTTTTTATCCGTGTAGAGTTTGGTGATACTTTTGGAAACAACATGCTTAAATACTCAAAATCCTTTGGAAAAACAGGAAAAAATGACCAAAATAGAGGAGGTAACTGTTTTAAAGATCCTCAATTTCAAAACTATATGAATGCAAATGATAATAGTAGTAAATTGATCTATTTAAATGCTTTTAGCTCGAAGACCACCAATGAAAAGCTTAACTTAGTGTTATTGCGGTACCGGGATGATTATAAACCAGCATATCTTTATTCTTGTATATTGTTCACTACAAACTTCATTCTTATGGAGTATATTCAAAACTTTCAGTGGATTAATTTAAGAGAGAAGTCCTTTTATCACAATTATTAAAACAATATATAGTATATACTGAAAGGAAAATTTAATTGCTTTCTGATATGTATGTACGTGTAAATGTTTACTTAATTAGGTACAAATGTATAACAAAAGTTCTATAGATCTTTATCGTTCTATTGATAGGAATCATGGATACACCAGTCTTGTTGTTATTGGTATACAGTATAGCCTCTGTCTTTGTGAATTCTCTGTATAACAGGAATTGTTCTTCTGGACAAATCTGTGTTTGCTTTAAAGTGAACGGGTATATCCATGCAGATTGTTCAGCTCGCCATCTGCGATCAGCACCAACTCTGAATTCAGATGTCGTCAGCGTAGACTTTGGCCATAATAGGTTCTATACATATCCAACGAACCTTTCCCCAAGCATTAGGTTTCTGAATCTTACAAGGAACAGAATATCTATTATCATGAAAAAAGCCTTCATAATGACTCCATTTCTACAAAATCTTACATTATCTGATAACGAAATAAAGTCCGTTGAAAAGGGGGCATTTGGGTATCTTAAGAAATTGCAGCATCTTGATTTATCATACAATGAAGAGCTAGCTATATCTGTTTTGCCAAATGTGTCCTACGACTTAGAATCTACTTCAATCAAAGTACTGAATCTTGAGAAGCTACAGTGTACATACGGAATCAGTACTTCTCTACATAGACGCCATGTGCAATATCTTCGGAATACTTCCCTTTTAGAACTCAATATTGCATCTAACAGACTTAATTATCTTGAATTTGGTCTGCTTTTAGACTTGCCAAAAACTCTTCGAATTCTGAACATCGGTGACAATGTCTTAAGTTTTGGTTGGTATCTGACAAACTTTGGAGGATTATCAAACCTAGAAATTCTAAATGTGAGTTTTGAATCTACGTTTCATCTCATAGCTCCCCATCAATTTACATTTCGCTGCAATGATACCAAAGCCAGTGACACCACGGGATGTAACTCTTATATTTTACCAGAATACCATTCATTAGGTTCTCATCCATACAGAGAAACGGGATCCGATTTGACTAATCCAGTAGATAATGTTACGCTTTATCTTCCACCTAACCTACACGTTCTTTATTTTCATGACAATATGTATAAAATGATTCTCGGAAAGTTTCATTTCAAGAACACAAGGAAATTTACGCATGCACATTTCCAAAATAATATAATTTATCAGCTGGAAGGACCTGTTGTAGGAATAAAAAGTCTGAGATATGTAGACTTTTCCAATAACTTTTGTGGTTACATTTCAAAGGAATTTTTTATTGACTTCGTGAATCTTCTTCATTTAAACCTCTCTAATAATATCTTGGGGCAAACTTTGGAAAATGATGTGGAAGGCCTAATATTTCAGAAACAGAATCAGCTGCAAACATTAGATCTTGCTTATAACAGAATAACAAATTTACCAAAAAATATTTTCAAAAGCCTTAGGAATTTAAAGCATCTAAATTTGAGCGGTAATTCTCTAAATCAATTTTACTTGAGTATGACACATATGAAAAGGCTTTGCTGCCTAGACCTTTCTTTTAACAGACTAACTAAGATTCACTCATCAACACGTGAAGCTTTAACACAAATATCTAGTGTCAGCAAAGTATTGGTAAATTTACGTGAGAATCCGCTGCAGTGTTCGTGTGAAAACATAGAATTCTTATCATGGATTGGATCTTCCAAAAACATTATTTTTCTTGATGTAAATAATTACACTTGTTTGTTTGATAATGGCACTGTGGAAACATTCCATTACGTCACCATTTTGTTAGAGAACTTAAATAAAGATTGCGCGTCTTACACTCTACTCATGATAATTACTACTTCTTTGATTATAGTGGTTGTTACAGTCATTACAAGTCGTATCGTACATCGATATCGATGGAGGTTGCGCTATTTGTTTTATGTTGCAAAAGGCAACAAGAGAAGAAATCAGAAGCAACAAGTTGCACATCCACATAAATACTACTTTGATGCATTTATATCATACGCGGAGGAGGATGGAATATTCGTCAGAGATCTTGTCAAATATCTTGAAAATGAACACAAACTTCGACTTTGTATTCATCAAAGAGATTTCATCCCTGGAACTGATATCGCAGACAACATAGCGAACGCCATTCATAATAGCCAGAGAACTGTTTGCTTGCTGACGTCAGATTACTTGGAATCATACTGGTGCAATTACGAAATGAACATGGCCAGAATGGAGGCCATTTACGACAGAAATCGTTCTAATGTCCTCTTCTTTATCATATGCCAGAAAGGTATTACCAAAAAATTACCACTGAAGTGGATGGATTTGATTCATAGTAAATCGTATCTAGAATTTTTTGGGGAAAATAAAAACGAAATTACTGCGTTTCGTTCAAAACTAGCAGAAACATTGCAAGAAACATTATATGAAGAAGAATTTTAGACTGGATTCCTATATCTGGGACTTTTTGGACCGACATTCAGAGTGTGTATGCTTACTTTTATACCAGGACAGACGAAAATAATTTTGTTTGGTCCAATTCACTTTACACTAATTATTGATAATTTACATTCATTCATCAGAAAGAAAACATGTATCAGTTATATTATGTGACATTTTCTTAAAGTAATACGATCCGTAACTTTAATTTTTGGCATGTATCGGCTGAAAAAATATTTGGCACGCATATGCATTTTCTTTCTTAGCCAGTTATAGCGATTCCATGATTCACAACGTTATTAAACAAACATAGAAATTATAGGTTAATGGAAATTGACCTAATTCAGAGAGATTGACAATGTTTAGAACTCTGTGCATTGGACAAACCAAAAGGTGAGCTCACGTTACTCGAGTGTGCCAGCTGTAATACAACTAATTAAGGGACTGCGATTGGTGATTACAATTTCTAAATTACAATTGACACAATTTCCCCCCAAACTTCATGTATTTCAAATATTTTATGTTTAATATTGAATGGTGTACAACAACTCTGTAACACGTTTTTCGTTATGTATCAATGCATAATGTATCCACGAAAGAAGCGACTCTCTTGCAGTAACATTTTGTTGGTTCTACACGTAAATGTTATCCGTTCTGATTTATATAAAAACAGCATTTTACTTGACATGTCAAGTAAAAAAGAAATATTGGTCTATATCTATGTTATATATATATATATATATATATATATATATATATATATATATATATATATATATATATATATATATATATATATAAAATAAATCATGATCAGAATTTTTTTCAATTTTGTCTGTTTCTTGGCGGTAAGATTAAGTAGATTTATTTTACATGTGCTGATTAAGTACTGGTAATTTAAACTATTGATTAAAATGTCATCAGACTAGTGAAGAACACCGTGGTAACATTCTGAGGCAAAAACTCACCACGCTCTAATGAGAAACTTGGCAGATTTGTGAAATTAGACGGCGCTAGGAAAGTAAGTATTTTATTGGGAATACAATGGTCAAAAATAAGAATAAATGTAGCCCTTTTAAGACTTGTTGTCAGCGTTGGACATAAGCATTATTGGAATACATGGCATAGTGTATGTACACTTGTGCACTCTCTATATACAGTGTTCGCTATATCAGCTAGCGCATTACATTGAAATCTTGAGTACACCTCGTACATGTACTAGCGATGTCTTTTTTCATCTTTTTAGGGAATAGAAACATCAAATATTCTCTTTCCAATGAATTATCGGGAAATGCGCAAATAAAACTCAAATGTTTATCTAAAGGTTTTCTTGAGTGGTACATAAATGAACTTAAAAAGTCGAACTAATTTGTGTTTCTTTAATATTCATTGATGAGTGGGAAAAGCACAAAATAAACAAATAATTAAATTTGCCCTTTCGCGTGGTTACATAAATAACATAAATCGAATTATTTTGGGTTTTCCATAATATTCATATACCAATTATTTCTTCCAAAAGAAAATAAAGAGATAAATGTCTGGCTTCTGAAGTGAAAATGTCTTTAAAAAGCATTAACACTGTTTCTAAGCAATCTCTCGATCTCTTTCTTTCAAATTCATAGGTCCTCAAAGTACATGTAGTTAATAAGAAAGTTTTGTAAGCTAACGATTATTCATCACCAAGGTAATATATTTTTACATTTTTCTAACTCAATGTTAAATCTATCGATTTATTCAAAGATATGAGGCATTGCAGAACGTAAATACATGTAGCTGTACATGTAGCAGTGTTCTTGACCTTTGATCAAATGAATCTAAAAGCTATTCTGTTCCTTCGACTTCATCTGACCATCTTCTGCCTTTGTAGTGCATTGTTACAATGAAATCTTAATGAAAGGTACTCAAGTGATAATTGAGGAATGTGTTGATTTATATAAGGTGGTCGCTAAAGCTGTTGAACGTAGTGAAGGACGTCGACCCAAACAAAGTGTATTGGTTATCATTGTGTATTAATATTGTTATTATCTATTAGTTCCTACCACGAACAAGCTCACTGCACCTATGGTTTTGTTGAAAAAGAATCAAATATATCAACACCAATGTATGGATGAAATAAGTAAAAATGAAATTGAATAAAAGAAACCCACACATACATGTACTATATGTATTAGGTAAAATGATAGGTGATCAGACCAACATCTAGTAGAATGCAAAATGACATTTAAAATATTCTGATCCCCTAAACTTATAGATAATCAATACCATTCAAAAATGCATATATATATATATATATATATATATATATATATATATATATATATATATATATATATATATATATATATATATATATATATATATATATATATAGCATAGGGAAATCCAGCTCTAAGAAAGAAAGAGGGGAAATATACCTCTAATGTGAGATTTCCCCTCGGAGGGAAAGAGTCCGAAGAAAAAGCTGGATACGGGAAAAATGCTACTCTACAACACCGGTACATAATCAAATATAATCAGATATAATCTGTAAATAACTTTGTCATGACATTGTTCGAGTTTATCTTTATTTTTTTCTACATGAAGTATTAATTAGCCACAAAGCTTTTCGAGATTCCGAATGAATTTTTCGTGCATGACAGGAGGCTAACCGTTTAGAGTTCACAGTCTTCGCCAATTTTTTTTTCCAGTACATACCCTTCGGGCAGGTTTAACCACTTATTACACTAGCCCGAACAAATAATTTTATCTAGTAATTTTATTCTTATTTGCCTTTTCATATCAAGGAAATGATCCGAAATCCATTTCTATCGATCGATCTATTGTCTCGCCATTAATATTGTTTCCAACCTGTACACATTTTGTGTACAAGTTGCACACTTTGCAAAAGAGTTCCTTGGACATGTTGAAAGTCACATATTGTTTTCAACGTGTATACTTTTTGTGTCTCCTTTGCAAAAGAGTTCCTTGGAAATCACGGTGGAATAAACTATTGTTAAAATAAATGAAAAATCAGACTTTTAAGTACATTTAATGTTGTTAGTATTATTTAATTTGATAATACGGAGGCTTAGGCCTCAGAATTTACATGTCCTTCGGGCTTTTAAGTATGCAATTTCCACATGCCCGCTTCCAATTTTACCAGGTCCCGGGCTTCGGACTCCCAGAATTTGTCGAAGACTGCAGTTCATCAACCATTCACCAAGTTGTGTTCAGCGTTCACACACAGTTCACCCATCGTTTGCTCTGTTTTTGTTCAACTTTCGCTCGTCTTTCAAGTGGGAAAGTAGAGCATTTCAGGGACTATTACATTAAGTTAACCTAGTTCATAAAGTTTTAAAGAACTTCTGATCCAATACATTACGTATTTAGTTTTCTTTCCTCCAAGGGCAAACTTTTTGAACAGTTCTTTTCATCTTGTGCTTAAAACTTATTCCGACAAGTTTAAGTTTTATTTCGTAGTATGTTCTTTTATCTCCACCAATAAAACCTACCAATTTTGTTCTCTTAACGGGGTCAGATAATACCTTGAACTTTGCAGCTGGTGGATAAAGGAACTCGCTTTCTCCAGGATATTCTGAATATTGATGGATGTCCTTTGGTCTCCATTCACTTTTCTTCGAATTGTCAATTATCAAAAAGATGTTTTTGTCGGTACCAGGTGCAAGAAACCCAATCGATACTTCTCTTCGATCAGAGGACGAAGTGAACTGCGGTAGAACAATTCTCTTCCCTTTTTGGTAAGCTTTCAAAGCATTTGCTATATCTCCCACGTTTCCTATCCCACGGTATGTCTTTTTTCTCGTTGCCATTAAATCCTCCCAGTATAACACTGTTGCAAACAGGGCGGTGGCGTAGGGTGCTAATGCTCTATCTTTTGAAGATAGGGATTTTGTTGTACAAACGTGTTCAGAAAGTGCACTTGACAGGTCTTTGTAGATGTCATTACCTGAGTACAGTCGGATTAGACTGGATTCCAACAGGTCAACACGTGATCGGCGGAGAGTGTGGTATGATTCATAATACTGACTATGAAGTGACTCTGCTATCTTTTCTTTAAAAGCCTTTCTTTTCTTTTGTAAAAGCATGAAAACACTTTGCAGGGATTCAAAAAAGCGACCTTTATATTTTTCAGTTCCATCTGACAAAACCTCTATTCCATAATTTATCATATCTATCCCGTCCTTCTCTACCAATTTCTGGCAATCAGCTGTCTCGACAAACGCCCTTTTATACCTTTGAAGAAATTGCTGTGTATAATTGAACTGGGGATACATGGCTGGTACTGTACTGTAGCACATCATTAAGACAAACAAGATGTGTAGGCCCATTTTCTTTCTGTTTTTCTCTAAATTCTAAATAATATAAATTATTAATAATATAAATGTTTGATATACTCTATTTTCTGCCATCATGATGCTTTCTGTATCAAAACTTAGAAGTGTTATTGAAAATTATAAGAATAATCAGATATTAAACAGGAAAAAAATGTCATCATTGAGAAAATTGATTAGGGAAAGAGAATTTTATTTTAATTAAGATGATAAAATCAATAAACTAAGCTAGAGAATATATAATGTATCATTAAAAAAGGTTTATATTAAACATACCGTGAACATTCAGCTAAGATATTTTTCAGTAACAATTCATCTGTTCCTCTTAATAGGTCGAGGAAGTATGTTTGATGTAGATACCGATGCGTGTAACGAAGTGTCAACTTCATTTCATTTCCAACTTTCTGTTGATGTAAAATTTCCTTTTGAATTCCCCAAATACGCGGTTCAAATTTACAAAACACATTTAAAACTTCCTTAAAGATTGTCGGATGTGCAAAAAATAAGAGTTTAAAATTTTTATCTCTCTTTTTTATCTCTCTTTTTTTAGAAACAATGAAAAAAAGTATCAAATTCCATGTCGAAAATACATTATGAAAAATTAATTTTGGCAATGTTAAAGTGCTTTATTTACAGATTTTTTCCCTATCTATATTCATACTGACGGTGCCA